TATGTGTATATATATAATTTTCTGTAGTAATCTGTGGAAAATGTTATTATAGTGGTAACAACTGCTGTTTCTAATTTTTTTTCTTCCTTTTAGGAATCTAACGAACCCAAAAGAAAGAAAGCTAAATCAGGCAAACAGAATCCAAAGAAGTCACATTGTCAGGAACTTAAAAAGGTACCTTAGTATAGGTTAGTGTCAGAATTGGTAATGAGATTTTTGAAAACTTAAGAATCAATCCTTGACTGCTTTGTAAAGTGGGAATTCTTAAAAACTGATGAAGTCAAAGTCTACAGGGTGGGTAGTAGAGTCTCAATGCACTTGCTTGCTAGAACTCCCCAGTCCTGGCATACATTTCCCAAGCTAACCTAAGTGCCTTCTAAAAAGGCTTGTTAGCCTACACAACTCACTGGGTAGATTTTATATTTATATACTTGATCGGGTTGTTTCCGCTTTCGAGGCCCATGCTTTATCAGAAACTGCTGGCTAAGGTTATTAATTCAACTTTGTTGCATTGGAAATAATGAATACGTCAACATTCTTCATAGTAAAATGCAGACATGAGGTCCTGTCTTCTAGATTCATTGTCAAAGTTGAGGGTGCTATACAACATGGAATGCTGTTTTGATGGTTTCTTATTTAACAGGTGATTGAAGCCTCAGACATTGTGTTAGAAGTTTTGGATGCCAGAGATCCTCTTGGTTGCAGGTGTCCTCAAATAGAAGAAGCTGTAATCCAAAGTGAATGTAAAAAGCTGGTGCTTGTATTAAATAAGTCAGGTGAGTACAAAGAATCCTCTTTATTTATTTTATTTTATTTTGTGCATTGTGAGGTATGAGGAAAATATCATAACAGTCTTACTTATCACTGAAGACTGATAAGATCCAACTCTGACCTCAATGAAGCCAATGAATGTGCACTTTGGTGGCCAAAGACCTTGGGGGAGGTAGTTTCTGCAAGTAATTATTCACCTGGATTTTTCTGTATTTATTCTCCTTTGGTTATGTTTCCATAAATACTATATTTCCTATAGGAACTGATGTGAGCATTTGCCACATATACTCCCACACAGAAACTCAACTCTAAACTGGGGTACTATGTCGGATAAAATATTTAAATGAAATGATCTGGGTGGGTTTGAGCACCAGGAAGAGAGCCCAGAAGAAAGAGAAATTCAGACAACTAGCTAAATTGCCAGCAGTGTTGTTCAATCCTCAATAAATAAGGGATAGGGGAAAGATGTTTTGTAGAGAATGAAGAATGTGCCTTATAACCACTGTTAGGCTTGGAAAACTGGTGCCATTTAGGTAACAGTAAGTCCTTGGAAACAGGCCTGATTTGACTTATGCCTAGATTGAGGGAGCAATACTGGAGAGGCTGAGATTCACAAGGGAGACAGTGCCTGCCTGGTACTCAGAAAAAGTTGTTTGTCCCCATCACCACGTAAACCAAGCATGGTAATATCCCTCTGTGATCCTATCACTGAGGGCATAAAGGGAGGTTCCAGAGTTGAAAGCCATTCTCAGTTCCGGCCTGGAATGCATGGGACTATGGAGATTGAGAAGTGGAGATGTAACATCTCAATAAACAAGCAGCATGGTAGGAAGTTTGCTTTCTTTCCCTTTAATTCCTTTCAAAACACTGGGGAAATAGAGATTAATACAATCAATAGTTAACACTAGTCTTTAAACCACTGAATTTAAGTGTCTTTCCCAATTCAGATCTAGTACCAAAAGACAATTTGGAGAACTGGCTAAATTATTTGAATAAGGAATTACCAACAGTGGTGTTCAAAGCCTCAACAAACTTAAAGAACAAAAAGAAGACATTCAAGGTATGTTGTTGTAAGCTGTGGGAGGAAATACAGGTTTCTTCTGATTTGTGATGATTGAAATATGATGAGTATACAAAATGTTGATTAAAGTGAAAAGCATTAAGATCCAACTCTGATTTCATTAAAGATCATCACAAAGGTAGCAGAGGCCAGCGGTTTTCCTGCAAGCTGGACTCTGGTGCCATACTTTTTGGATTCCACCTAGTGATGTTTACCAGAATTAAAGTTGCTGCTTTTTTTTTTTTAATGTTCAAAAATAAAAAAGAAGAAAGTTGTTCCATTCCAAAGTAAAATCTGCTGTGGCAAGGAAGCCCTTTGGAAGCTTCTTGGAAGTTTTCAACAGTCCTGTGGAAAAGATATTCATGTTGGAGTAATTGGTACGTTTCATGGGCATCTAAGAGCTCAGTGGTAGAACACCTGCCTGGTGTGGGCAAGACAACTACTAGAAAATGTGTGTATAAACATAATCCGAGTTTATGTTTATTTGTAGGTTTCCCAAATGTGGGGAAAAGCAGCATCATTAATAGCTTAAAACAAGAATGGATTTGCAATGTTGGAGTTTCCATGGGACTTACAAGGTAAACAGAACTGTCAATGATCAGAAAGAAATCAGTAGCTGGTGCTGGGCTACGAGAATTCATTGGAAAGGCCCAGGTACCTACAGTTGTTTTAAAGGTTGAGGAAAGCTCCCTCAGACAAAGTAGTGTTGGACCTAGTCTTGGAAAAAAATAAGGAAATAAGCTTATTATGTTACATACTCAAACATGAATATGTTTTGCTATATGGTGCACTGCATCTTACAGTACTTATTTTAAGGTCTCATGTGAACATGAAGCAGTGATGACAGATTGGATCTGACCTAACTGCTGTGCTGAGTTTGTTCAATCCAACCCTGAGCTTCATGTTGTCTTGCTCTCAGATGGACAGTGTCTTTGTTAATTCCATGGCTTTTGTTTGTTTGTTTTCAGGAGCATGCAGATTGTCCCTTTAGACAAGCAGATCACAATCATAGATAGTCCATGCTTTATTATCTCACCTTGTAACTCCCCTACTGCACTTGCCTTAAGAAGTCCAGCAAGCATTGAAGTACTGAGGCCGCTAGAGGCTGCCAGTGCAATCCTGTCTCAGGCTGATGATCAGCAGGTAAAAATTTCCCTTGAATGCCCTAGCACTGTTTTTGTTTGTTTGTTTGTTTTGGTTTTTTGGTTTTCCCCCCACCCCCTCCTAGCACTGTTCTTTACACAGATTTAGGGATGGTACATGTTTTATTTTTAAGGTGGTGTTAAAATATACTGTCCCGGGGTATAAGGATTCTCTGGATTTTTTTACTAAACTTGCTCAGAGAAGAGGTCTGCACCAGAAAGGTGGAAGCCCGAATGTTGAAAGTGCTGCTAAGCTGCTGTGGTCTGAGTGGACAGGGTAAGGTGTTTTTGTATTGGCATTTTAGAAGACAACTTAGAGGGATTGGCCTGTGTTTGACACATCTTGTCTTTAACGCCAGTGCCTCGTTAGGTTACTACTGCCATCCCCCTGCATCCTGGAATCACTCTCCACATTTCAATGAGAATATTGCAGCAATCATGAAGAAGGGCTTTAATCTAGAAGAACTAGAAAAGAATAATGCACAAAGCATACAAGGTAAAATTGTGTTTTTCTGTAACATGGATGAATATAACACCATAATAGTGACTAACAATGACAGCGGTCTTATTTGATAACATGAGTTTTATTTCCTCCAGTCCTTAAGGTCCCTCATTTAACTAAGAGAATCCTTTTCCGGTCTACGGGCCTGACAAATGGAATACTAGAAGAGAACGACATACCTGAAGAATCACAAAGACAGACAGAAGACAAACAGGATGATGATGATCAAGAAAGTGGTAGTGAAAACAATGTAAGTTTTGTTTCGAGTTAAAGCTGAAATAAATTTTCTAGCATTACAGTCAGTATAGAAAGAAAATTAGAGGTCAAAGGTAGAAACAAACATTTTAATAAGAAGGAACTCCCCTGTATGGTTCAGGAATTTAAAGCTGAACTGTTAATGTTAGTATTCTGTCTAAACTCCACCTCCACAGTTATCTGGCCACAGCCAGGTAGGCCTGCCCACTATAAAAGAGGCTGCTTGCCCCTCCTCTCTCTCTTGCCTCTAGCTTCCCTCTGTCCCCTCGCCCCTCCCCACTTTCCCCTCTCTCCACATGGTCATGGCCAGCCTCTACTATTCTATTCTCTCTCCTCTCTCTCTCTCCTTCTCCCTCTCTCCCACCCCCTCTCCCTCTGCCTCTCTGCCTCTTTGTCTCTCTCTGCCTCTCTGCCTCTACTACCCTCCTGGCTCCCCTCTCGGTGCCCTGAATAAACTCTATTCTATGCTATACCAGTATGTAACTGGTCCCTCAGGGGGAAGAGATGCCTCAGCATGGGCCCTCTAAGACATCCCCTTCCCCCATACCTCTCCACGCACCCACAGAACATCAGTTAACATTTTACAAATCCCTAATTAGGGGTGTTACCTAAGACTGCTCTCTATCTCAATAGGGGTAATGAGAAGTGATGTGCTATTTCATAATTTCATTTCAATTTTGGTCCACAGGTAGCGATCTCAGATGTGGCCCTTGTAGAAGAGACCAGGGAGATGCCACCTGGGCAGTCAACAGCAAGTGAGTCTGGGAATAGGACTTGCAACAAAGCAGTTTGAGCATAATTGCTTTTATTTTCTTGTATAAAATTTCACTTTTTCTCTGACACAGGTAAACCATCTGACAGATCACCTGCCTTGGATAAAATGAGTGAAGAGGATGATGCCTATGACTTTACCACAGATTATATATAACTTGTACACATCATCTGTGTACAGTGTTCTAGATGGGTTTGTTGTATGATATAAGCTGTAAATCTTGTAAATATGTATCATGTTATAAATAAAATGAAGTGTTTACATGCATGTGTTTAAGATTTATTTATGGCGAGGTATGGTGGTGCCCAGCACTCAGGAGGATCTCTGGGTTTGAGGATAGCTAGGACAGCCTGGGCTGTTAAACAGAAAATTTGAGGGGAGGGGGATTAAGAAAACATTGGGTCCCCTGGAATTAGAATGATATAGTTGTAACCTGATGTGGAGGAAATTGAACTCTGGAAGAATGTTTACATTCTTAAAACACAGGGAAGCAAAGGGTCTACTGGAAAATGTAGATTTTATTTACAAACCAGGCCACAGGTTACAAAACTAAAACAGCAGTTCCTACCTATAGCAGCTAGATGCAGTTATGCTGGCAGTCTTAGTCTCAGTCTGTCCTTCAGGTCAGTAAGCAGTACAGTAAGCAAACATTTGGTAAGGCAGGTGGAGACATTGGTAGTCATCTGGAGATCTGTGATCTCTACCCAGCTGAACCATTTTCTGGGTGGTACAGAGCAACTCCTACAACTGTTATCTTCCCACATAGTGTCTTCCAGGGTTTCCTGAGTGACGCATTTAGCTTAAATTGTAGTTCACTTTATGTTTGAGGTATCCATATGTCTTCGGATTAAACTGAATTTTCCTGTTGGGTCTGGAATATACCATTTTTCCCAAACATCAGCATATGAAGCAGCTCTTCCCCAAGGCTTAAAGTGACCATTCCAGTGAAGTAACTTGGCAGCCTTTACAAACTGGGGTGAATACCGTTTTCCAGCACTGGAACCTTAAATAAATAAAAGTGCCAAATTACTAAGAAAGAATGCCATGCTAAGCTGCAGAAATCTAAAGGGAAATACTGGTCATGGTCCACCTTGGAGGAGGCATTCTTAGATACCAATTCCTGGTTAGTATAAGTTAGGGGCTATTTGTTTTGATGTAGGGTCTGCTAGGTGGCTCTGGCTAACCTCAAAACTATTTCTGCTGCCTTTGTATCCTAAGTGCTAGGATTACCAGCATGAACCACTATACCCAGCTGAATGGTGTTATACTTACCAAGATGGCGGACATTCCACATAGGGTCAATGGTGGAATGTTGCTGATAAAATACAATAAGCAGAGGAGGTGTGGTGATGCTGCCAGCCAGTGTTCTGCTGTACAATCCCTCTCTTGGGGAAACAAAGCATGTTAGTGAAGAGTATGATGAACTGTTAAGTGGGTTTTTTGTTTAATAGCTAAGCTAGTTACATACTTACTCTACATTGAGTTTCATCCATTTTTCCAGCTGGTTAGTTATATTCTGTCTTTTCCATTCGGTCAAGTTTGCAACAAAAACTCCAGGATTAAAGGAGCAGGTGCTGGCTTTCATGGAAAGCTTACGAATTCTTTCCTTTTTATAGTCAAGATAGCCAATGTAATTGTACTAAAAACACAAATGAAATATTTGCTGCTTCAAAAAAGATGAGTTTTTTAGAACAAGTAAAGTCGGTAGTTGTTCTTTTGTTTTGTTTTCTTTTGTTTTTTCAAAACAGGGTTTCTGTGTAGCCCTGGCTGTCCAGGAACTCTTTGTAGAGCAGGCTGTCCTCCAACTCAGATCTGCCTGCCTTTGCCTCTCAAGTGCTAGGAGTGTCACCAAGCAGTTATTTGAGCTTCTTGATTTCCTAAGTTATTAGCAAAAGTGACAGATCCTATAGAAATAGAGTTGGGATCTGGAGTTTGTCTTAGCAGGACATTTAGGGACAATTGGGTTGTAAAGTCCATAAATCTACAGTATCTATAGAAAAGTAGGTATGAGATCTAGACAACAATAACTAGTTAATGGAAAACGTAGCCCTGAATTTAAAACTTCTCATTAAGCTTTCACAGGGAGTAAGACCTGCAGTAAGTAATTTACCTGGTTCCCTGCTCCACGGATGATAACTTTAGTAGAGGCTGAGTCACAATCCTCTGAAAATGCAGCAGCATGTCCTGGCTTTAGTGGTGTATTGTACAAGGCAAGTATATCACCTGAAAGGAATGAAGTGACATGAACAATGGTAGTTGTCTTGAGAGTCTGTTCCTCTCACTTCTAACAAATGGTGTACTTTTAGAGTAGACCATAGACAACCCATTACAACCCAGAATCCAGATGAAGAACACAACTCATTCTTCAGTACCTTGTACAATTACATCATCATCCATGTATATGGCTTTCTTTGCACTGGGAACCAGAATTGGCAAGTAGAACCTTGCAAACGTTAACTGGGGGAAAAAAAGGAAAGAAATATCAGCATAGGATACAATAGCTGGGCTGTTATTTGTACAAGAACCCAGGTAAAAAAATAATCAATGAACTCTTGGAGTCCCCAAATTTGGTCCCTAGGGAAGGAACTACTTGTACTGTAGCCCGTTATCCAGGCATTCTAATCAAATACAGTCCCCAATAGAAACAAAGATACATGGAACTCACTGGTTTCATGGACTCCCCCTGGTCAGGATCCTCCTTTACTTTCCCTTCCAAAAGTTTAATGTCAAAATTTACAATTTTGTACCTGATGCTTTTCAGGGAACCACTGTTAAGCCAGGACCTGATGAAGGAAAAAAAAAAAAAATTTGGTCATGTTTCTAATGTATACAGCCGTATCTTTCTATGCTTTTCTAACAGTGGCATAATGCAATGTAAGAGAGACCCTAGGAACTAAATAGATGTTTCAAGTTCTTTATTTCTCTAAGACTAAGAGTTCCTCACTTAAGATAAAGGTATTTCCACCAAAGTTCCTTCTCAACCGAGAATCTATGGGACAACTTTTTCTCCCATAACCAAACTACTGCAGAAACTAGACATGAGAACACTCAGCCAAACATGGACCACTTTTATTTATTTTCTTAAAGCACTCTCACTATTCTCCCTCAGCCATCCATATGCTGAAATTACAAGGGTACACCACCATGGCCAGCTGGACCATAGAATTTTTTGCCTTCCAAATAATGAGTCAAATCACAATGGTAGTAAAAGCTAGTTATCAATAAAACTCGGATTCAATCTGTTAGTTATAAAATGAGTATTAATTTACTGTGATGAACCTAAGAAATTTACCCACCTGACTCTAAGGCAGTGTATGTTACTTGAAAAAGCACTATGTATTTTTTCTAGTCCATTACAAAGCTGCAGTATGTTTCTGCATCTTGAATGGGTTCTGAGTTTTTCAAGAATGAGAACATAATTTTCATGAGTGTGAACCATGGAGAAAGCCATATGGGCAAAAATATTTAAAACTCTGAAAATCTGTAAACCTGCTTTTTCAGAATAAATATTGCAGATTTTTGTTTTTAATTGTTTAAAGGCAGTCTCATTCAGCCCAGGTTGTCCTTAAACTCTCTTTGTAGTCAAGGATGCCCTTGTAACTTCTAATCCTCCTACTTCTACCTCCTCAATGCTGTGATGAGAGCCATGAGCTACCATGCCCAGTTTCTGTGATGGTGGGAACTGAACCCAGTGCTTTGTGCATGCATATCTGTAAGAAGCTATGGCTAGTAAATCATATACTGCTTTGCTTATCCAGAAAGTCAGGTTGCTAAACATTAGACCTATTACTAAAAGAACTATGGAGTTAACAGTGTGACTGTGGCAGTTGGTTTACTTCCTGACAAATTATCATTTCTTCTGCCACAGAGACAAGACGCAATCATATGGAAAACTGTTTGTACTGTGTATTTGTGTGTGTGTGGTAAAACAGGAAGATATCACATCATAATATGTTGTAAAATGGTTCCTGGGTTAGCAATGGGCCTTTGAAGAGCATCAAGCAGGCAGAATCAATTAGGAACACAGTGCTCACCGGAGATGGTCTGCTGTACTGTTGAACGCAACAATGTAAAAAATCACACTGGAGCGAGTGTTTTGATGAATGCTATTTATGGCTGCAATGGTGCCACCCAGCCTGTCTTCAGAGGCAGCAATAACCACGGGTATTTCCTCTTGTCTCTCATTTACTGGATGTTGATGAACATTTGAGACAAAGTCTATGGGCTGAAGCCCCACAATTCCTGAATCTGAAAAGAACATACAAGGAAAGCACCAGGACACAATCTCGTGAATTTTTGTTCTTATTTTGGGTTGTTTTTTGTTTCTTTGTTTTATGCTTTGAAACAGGGTTTTGCTGTGTAGTCCTGGGTGGCCTGAAACACACTATGTAAATGTAGACCAGGTCAGCTTGGAACTCAGGGACCTCTCTCTGTCTCTGACTGCAGAGTGCAGGACGTAAAGATGTACACTACAACACCCAGCAAGTGTTTTTACAGAGTCCAAGACATGAAAGGAGGTAACATGAGAGTTACAGCAACTACTTACTTATTCTTGCCCAGTAACTTGGAAGCATACAACAGGAAATTGTGTTTTCCTATATGTAACTACTTTTAGAAAAGTGGAAGAATTTGAAAAAATAATCTGGAAACACTCTTGGTACACCATTAGTAGGGAAGTTACAGAACTTTTCTAGAATGTATTATGACAGTTTATAAACAACCTTAAAGGGGGGGTACATGTCCTTTGTCTTAATCATTCTTTTTTTTTTTTTTCGTTTTTTCGTTTTTCGAGACAGGGTTTCTCTGTGTAGCCCTGGCTGTCCTGGAACTCACTCTGTAGACCAGGCTGGCCTCGAACTCAGAAATCTTGCCTGCCTCTGCCTCCCAAGTGCTGGGATTAAAGGCGTGTGCCACCACTGCCCAGCTTAATCATTCTTTCTTAAGGACAAAATCTGAAGCTGGGGATCCACTCAGCAGTAAGGGTACACGCTCTGCGTGTGTAAGGCCTTGAGTGCAACACAGATACAGCAAAACAAGCCGCCACTTTATTTATACTTTCAAACTATTTTTCAAACTACAAATCATAAAGAGACTTTTTGACTTTTATGATATAATAGAACCTCCATATTTATGATTTCCACATAGAAAGAAATTACTGTACTAAATATGTAGGACCACGATTTTTATCATTAGGACCTACATAATACAACAAGGCCTTATGCTATAAAAGGTATTAGATGCAATCTAGAAATGCTTTATAGTACTTAGTAAGATGTGTACAAGTTATATACAAGTTTCTTCTATGAGATTTTATACAATAGACACAACATTTGAAGATGTGGGTCCTACAGTCAGTCCTATGTCTAGAGACAGCTGTATACTCATTTAGTTATCAGTGACCACTGAGGACTTATTATATGCTAAGTAATGTCTAGCACTGGAGTTATAACTATAAATACAACATATAAATTCTAACGAGACAACATCTATGTCTATGTATATGCTGCAAGAAATTCAGTTCTTACTGTGAGATTGACATCAAAAATTAAACGTTATTAAGAAAACATCTTCTTGTGGATACAAATAAACTTATAGCATTAAAGGTATATATACAAATAAGTGTAAAAAAGTCTTAATTGCATATATGAAATTTATGTTATGCTTATGATAAAATCACATGGATATTTTTATCATATGACGTTTAGTATAATCTCAAATATATAGAAAAATATATATAGTAAAAAAAGGAAGCAGGGCGGTGGTGGCGCACGCCTTTAATCCCAGCACTTGGGAGGCAGAGGCAGCGAGGCTAGCCTGGTCTACAGAGTGAGTTCCAGGACAGCCAGGGCTACACAGAGAAACTCTGTCTCAAAAAACCAAACCAAAAAAAAAAAAAAAAAAAGGAGCCGGGCGGTGGTGGCACACGCCTTTAATCCCAGCACTTGGGAGGCAGAGGCAGGTGGATTTCTGAGTTCGAGGCCAGCCTGGTCTATAGAGTGAGTTCCAGGACAGCCAGGGCTACACAGAGAAACCCTGTCAAGAAAAACAAACAAACTAAAAAAAGGACTAGAAGATACCAGTCAAATTTTTTAAAGTAGTTTCTCGGGTCGATGAAATAATTTATTCAACTAATACTGACTAACTCCATCTCAGCCTCCACTTGCTGGGATTATACACTAGCTAAATCTGGCTCTCCTTCCTTTTTGAGGAAGAGTCTTACGTGTCTCAGATTGACCTTGACTTGGTATGTAAGCGAAGGTGGCTTGAACTTTTTCCTCCTAATTTCCCTTACTGTTACATATGTATATGTGGTATATATGTTGTGCATGGACGGTGTACCATAGTATTCACTGTTGGATTACTACCCACTAGAGGTCGGCGGGGGGTAGAATTTTTTTTAACAAAGTCTTGCTATAGCCTGTACTGGCCTCAGATTCATGACTCTCTTGCTTTGCCTCAGTTTCCCAATTGCTAAGATTTTTGTTGTGTATTGTCACATCTATCCTCAAAAATGATTTTTTAAAACAAGGACATTGTGGTTCAGAACTGTAATATAATCACTGTGGAGGCTGAGGCACGAGGATCAGGATCAAGGACAGTCTAAATTATTTAGTGAGTTTGAAGCCAACCTGAGCCATAAGATCCGGTCTCAGGGCTGGAGAGATGGCTCAGTGGTTAAGAGCACTTGACTGCTCTTCCAGAGGTCGAGTTCAACTCCCAGCAACCACATGGTGGCTCACAACCATCTGTAATGGGATCCGATGCCCTCTACTGGTGTGTCTGAAGACAGTTACAGTATACTATATACAATAAATAAATAAATAAATAAATAAATAAATATCTAAAAAAAAAAAAGATCTGGTCTCAAGATATTTAACAAACACCATGAAGCCTCAAATATCCCTCATTACCAGAGTAGAATCACATGAACTAAAAAAGGCAATGTAATATACAATAACATTTTTTTGATCAGCTGATAAAACTTTATGATTTCTGTTGTATTCCAAAAGTCCTACTGATGTGATACTAAGTTAAAGTAACAGTTAAAACAAAGTCACCATCTCGACACTTTGTAGTGACAAAGGCAAGCATCAAATACCAGGGACACTTGCCTGTCCCATCTTTTAAAGCTCTGACCTGATGAAACACAAGCAGACAGCAGCCCACAGACATTCTTTAGGGCCTCTGACTTGATAGGAATATTCTCTCAGATCAAGTCCTTAGCAAAAGACTTCAGTACAGGGAAGAGTGGGAGGGAGGCACCATATGAAACTAATGAGTGCCCAGTGTACTTGGTATCAGAACACACTTGGAACAACTCTGCCAGGCCCTGACCAAGGCTTGTCGGAATCTCCTGCCCCTCTGTTGAAGCTCCAGCTCCTTCCCTGTCACTGCCACTGCCTAACTCAGTCACTCACTATCCACCTTCTCCAGAGAGCCTGAGCAAGGCCATTTCTAAAGATAAACAGCCATGTCTGGACAATCAACTCCAGAGAGTAGAGCCCAAGCTTAGGCCCTGACTTTGCATTAACTTCCCATCCCAGACCTCCTATATAAACTCCAAGTGTTCCCTTCCTCCTTTTTACAAACACTCCTTTCCACTCTGCCCCATCTGCTGAGGTCAAACTGCTCTTATTTTTTCGTTTGGTCTCTTTAGTTTGCCTGAGTCTTTGTAAGAGCAAGAAGAAAGTTTTCTTTTCTTTAACATAGTGATAGAACTTAGGATGTGGGACCTGGGGATCTCCAGGTCCTTAACAAGAGACAGTAGTACAGGTAAAGGCTCCCCACACCCCCATACCTGACACTTCATTCCTTAACAAACTGCTCAAGCTGAGGAAGTTATGGTGCAAAACAAGTAAGAAGAGAACAACCGCCAGGACCCAGATGATGATGTTTACTGAAACAGAGAAAACCTGTGTTATAGCTTTTGGCCTTGGTAAATATAAAAACAACAGAACTTTGAGGGGGTCAGGGAAGAAGGAAAGGGAGCGCATACCTTTACGGAATGACATCCTTTTCTTCTATCTTACATAAACATTAGAAAGTAATCCTATAAAAATAAAAGCCCCCAAAGTCAGTGAGTACCTGAGAATGGTCATCAAAATGCTTCTGCACTCTTATTTAGACAGAAACAAGAGGAACATGGGATACTTTGTCAGACACTTATTTTTAAATCAATAACTTCCAAGCATTCAATAGGTGCTGAAAAACTGAAAGGTTTTTTTTAAAGATTTATTTATTTATTTAATGTATATAAGCACACTGTCCTTGGAACACCAGAAAAGGGCATCAGATCCAATTACAGATGGTTGTGACCCACTATGTGGTTGCTGGGAATTGAACTCATAACCTTTGGAAGAGCAGCCAGTGCTCTTAACCATTCAGCCATCTCTCCAGGCCCCATGGACTGAGAGTTTTATGATGATCACATACAATACTTTCATAGTATATGAAAAAGCACATAGCTTTAGCCTTGTTACATTGCATACTACATGAAAAAAATTTATTAGGAGAGATATCTGAAGTCTACCAACTAGAGATACATTTTCAGAATTGATTTCTGTTTAAAACCTAGTTAAGCTGGATATGATGGTGTATGCCTTTAGTCACAGTGCTGGGGAGGCAGAGACAGGCAGATCACAGAGCTTGATGACAACCTGGCCCACAGAGCGAGTTCCAGGACAGGCAGGGCTACACAAAGAAACCTTGTCTCATAAAAACCAAGCAACCAACCAACCTAGTTAAACTGGGCATGGACTATAAAAATAACTTTTATTCTTCTGCAATAATTGTCATCTCCAAGGTTTACTGCCTCCGTTTGCTAACCTAGGCCTAGTCCTGGAAGCTTCTAGCCTCCATACAGTCTAATCAAGGCCTAGAATGTTTTCAGCCTCTGAGACTTGCTGTTGAATAGCTCACCCCTTCCTAGTTCTTTCTGAACTCTGGCTGGCTAATTAAACTCAACTGTTATGGCTAAAACTCCTCTCTACTCAGACAAGCTGGCTTCTCTCTTGGCCTCTAACTTTTTCTCTTATCTGGCTTCAAACTAACCCTGACAATCTGCTCCAATCTTGCTCCTTCTCATTCTCTGGCTCCTTATGTCTTCACCTGTCTCTATAGAACTGTCCCAACTGCCTTCTCCTTTGTTTCTCTGTGCCTCTTCTCTTTAGTAGCTTGCTTCCCTTTCCTCTCTGTTCTTTTGAAGAGTCAGGCAAATCTTGTTCTGTCAAATCTTTTTCTAATTTGTTATTCTGCCACTCAATTAGATGTCACTTTCAAACATGGATGCTTGATTCTACAAACAATTCATTGTTTGGGATTAAAGGTGTATACAAGGGTGTGTCTGTATTCCAGCCAGGGAGATAAAAGGTGTGTGCTTAGGCTGAGCCACACAACTAGAAAAAAAGTTTTTTTCAGAAAAGAACACAGTCTTGGGGTTTACAGTGTGATCAAATATTCTACAACAATGGACTGTGGTGTCTCTGACAAAGTAACCTGAGGGGTTAGTGTTATTCTCAAAACATTTATTTAAGAGGGACGTAGACAACGGCTCAGGGGTTTAAGAGACCATGCTGTTCTCCCAGAGGACCCAAGTTTCCCAGCATTCATGTAAGGTGGCTCATAACTATAACTCCAGGTCCAGGAGAGCGGATGCCCTCTCTGGCCTCCACAGGCACCTGCACACACTTGGCAAACCGAGGTACAGATGTGCAAACACACATTTTTTTTGTTTTTGTTTTGTTTTTTTGGTTTTTGAGACAGGGTTTCTCTGTGTAGGCCTGGCTGTCCTGGAACTCACTCTGTAGACCAGGCTGGCCTCGAACTCAGAAATTCACCTGCCTCTGCCTCCCAAGTGCTGGGATTAAAGGCGTGCACCACCAATGCCCGGCCACACATTAAAAAAAAAAAAAATCTGCGCTCAGAGATGAAGATAGTTTAGCAGTTAAGAGCACTTGCTGCTCTTACAGAAGACCCAGGTTCAGTTTCCAGTGCTCATAGAGTCCATCACAATTGCTTTTAACTCCAGTTCCAGGAGATCCAACACCTTCTTCTGGCCTCTGCAGGCACTGCATGCACATGATACATACACAGAAAAGTAAACATGTGCATATATACATAAAAATCTGCTTTATGAAAAAATAAGCTAGGCCGAGGCTCAGTGGGTAAGAGTGCTGGCTTCGTAAGCATATAGATCTTCGTCTGTATCTCCAGCACCCACATCAAAGGCACATGGTCATGTGCACACCTGTTACCTCAGCACTGCAAGAGAAGACAAAGACAGGAGGATTGCTGAGGTTTGCTGACAACCAGCCTAGCTCCAGGCTCAGTGAGAAACTTTATCTCAGGGATTAAATCAGAGAATGATAGAACAGGACACTGAAGGTCCTGCACCCAGCTCTGCACACCTGCACGCACAACACAAACACAAAGCTTCCCGGATTCATCTCTGTTGACAAAAAGACCAAGTATTAAGAAAGTGGTGTCCAATACTAGTACTCTCTAGGTCACTTCTGCTCATGTGACACCTTTATTTTCTCAAAACAATTCAATAGAAACAAGATTGTGAAATGTTTTTATGGGACTATATAAATTAAACAAAATTTTACAACAATCTCCTGGAAATAGTTCCTTGAAGACACTTTTATGCATCCAAGACATTGGGACTCTAGGTTTATGACCTTTAATCATTTGTAAATGCCACCCATAGCAGTATCTATCATACAGATAGGGATATTTATTTTACAAAGCAGTGTCAGCAAAACCATAATGCTAAGAAAGTTAATCTAGACTGTGTGTACATTGGACATTTAATTTCCCAAGGTCGTTTGAAAAGCAGGGATATGTTTAAAAATGGGCCATGGGTCATATTACAAATCTGAAACAATGTAACTCAGACTTATAATGAACAATCTAAAATGTGTAAACATACTTCTTTTTAGAACAGTATATACAAAACATATTATACCAGTAAACGTACTCTGAAAAAAAAATAGACATAATAGACCAGGAAGATGGCTCAGTGAGTGAAAGTGTTTGCAGGACAAGCCTAATGACCAGTTTGATCCCCAGAAACCATGGAGAGAACCGACTCCTGAAAACTGTCCTCTGACTTCCACATGCACACCATGGTTGCCTCCCTCGCTCTCCTCTCCTTCTTCTTCTCTCTGTCTCTCTCTCTTTGTCTCTCTCTCACACATACACACACACACACACACAAACACATGCACACACACTTTTTTTGTTTGTTTGTTTTTTGTTTTTGTTTTTTTGGTTTTTCGAGACAGGGTTTCTCTGTGTAGCCCTGGCTGTCCTGGAACTTACTCTGTAGACCAGGCTGGCCTCGAACTCAGAAATCCGCCTACCTCTGCCTCCCAAGTGCTGGGATTAAAGGTGTGCGCCACCACTGCCCGGCACACACGTTTTTTATTGTGGGCTGGGAAGAGAATTCAGTCCATAAAATGCTTTCTGTTCAAGTCAAATGTAAGGATCAAGTTAGATTCCCAGAACCTACATAAAATGCAGGTGTGGTAGCAGACTGATACCCCATCACTGAAGATAGGAGGATCCCTGGTGGATGGGCATCTTGAGAAACACCACATAAGGTTGACCAATGGCCTCTACACGTGTGTACATACACATACATAAAGAAAATAAAAGGGCTGGAGAGATGGCTCAGCGGTTAAGAGCACTGACTGCTCTTCCAAAGGCCCTGAGTTCAATTCCCAGAAACCACATGGTGGCTCATAACCATCTGTAATGGGATCCGATGCCCTCTTCTGGTGTGTCTGAAGACAGCCACAGTGTACTCATATAAATAAAATAAGTCTTCTTTTAAAAAAGAAAAGAATACATGTAATATTCCCTATGGTATTTCTCTTTATCACACCATAGGCTGAGTCTACCTACAGAAGTTGGCAAATTGAGAGCTACTCAATAAAGCCTTAATACTTCCCTGCTTTGAGTTAAATTCCACCAAGACTGAATAAAACAATCCCATTCCAATAAACTCCAGCTAGTTACTGGTACCAAAAGCAATGTTTTATCTGGTTAACTTCCAGTGACAGTTACATATTGCACTGTATATAGATTGGAAGTCACATGTATTTGAGCTACTCTAGTTAGCAGGACACAAAAAAGGAGCTTCAAGCAAGTACTCATTTTCTGGAAGTAGATGAGTAACAGCACTTGTTGATAAAAGTCTTCTAGCTACTTACATGAAAAACACCAGCTTTCAGAGTAAGTCTCATCATGTTGTCTTTCCTGGTAATGAGGGTTCGTTGGTCTGTTTAGAAGAAACTCTCAAGGCAGAAAGATAGATAGCCCAGCAGTTAAAAGCACCGACTGTTCTTCCAGAGGTTCAATTCCCAGCAACCACATGGTGGCTCACAAACTTCTGTATTGAGATCCAATGACCTCTTCTGATGTGTCTGAGGACAGCTACAGTGCACTCATATACATTAAAGAAGAAGAAAGGAGGAGGAGGAGGAGAGGAAGAAGAGGAGGAAGAAGAGGAGGAAGAAGAGGAGGAAGAAGAGGAGGAGAGGAGGAGGAAGAAGAGGAAGAACAGGAAGAGGAAGAGGAGAAAGAAGCAGCTCTCAAAATTTCATATACACTGTGTGCATGGAGAAGGAGGGTAGAGGATGGAGGAGAAGCAGTAATAGCATAAAATCCATGGTTCTTTTGCTCAGAAATTGCAAAACCTTTACATTCCCAAGCTATCTGTGTACCAGCTCCTCATAAAGACACACACAGGAAGCCCAGGACAGATATTACCCATTAATGTAAAAGAATCTTAAGAAAAAAATGTGTCCTGTTTATTGTTTTTGAGACAAGGTCTCACTATACAGCCCAGGCTGACTCTGAACTTTTGATCCTGCTGCCCCAGTGCTGGGCTTTCAACCTTTTTTACTTTCTGTTTTGCTTGTATGTGTGCATATGGTATGCATGCATGCGTGTATGTGTGGGTGGAAGTGTGTGTGGGAGAAGTCAGAGTGGATGTCAGGCGTCTTCCTTGCTCACGTTTCTTTCACCTCACAAGTCTCAATTACACCCACAACCTGCCAGTCTATTTAGTCAACTTGTTCTCAGGATCTCATCTCCACCTCGTGGGTGCTGGCATTATAGGTGGGCTGGGACACCCACCCTGCATTTACAGAGGTACTGGGAATTTGAACTCAGGTCCTCACACTTGTGAGGTATTTTACCCACCATTTCTCTAGCATACCTCCACTTAAAAAAAAAAAAAAGCGAACACTAAATGCCTCTGTTTATATTTAGCCTCAACAACTTAAAAAAAACAACCTCTCCCTCCTATTCCAATACGGATAATATATATATCCATGAGTAGATTCCCTCTGGTGCTCTGTACCCGACCCTACAACTGTTCTCGTGTAGCATCAACTTCCCGTCCCTGATGGATCACACCTGTCTGCATGCTAGCATGTTCTGGTGTCTTCGAGTTACCGGAGTAGAGGTAGGAGTAGAGGGTAGAGAAGACGGAACACTTCTTCCAGTCCACTTCCAGAGGACTAACCCACAGGTCCATGTCTCTGCCTCCCTCACACTAAATGACTCAAATGGTTTGAAATATTCTTCTCTGTGTTTGCTTCCTTGTTCTTAGATGTTGGGTGTTATTTTCAAACTGCTCTTGTAGAAACCATCAATAGCATCTTTCTCTGCTTTCCTTACGCCGACAATCTCACTCTTTCCTCTCAGTTACGAAATGATTGAATGTGTGTATCTGTGACCTGTGAACGGAAGTTCTACAGAAACAGGGAGTTAAGGAAAATGTAATTCTACTTCTGTATCCTGACACCTAAGGACATTCCTTCCAAAAGTGCAACAGACATGTGATATTTGTGGAATAGCCTTGCTAATCCAGGAGTAGTCCAGTTCTCCAATGAAGAAGAGATCTTACTGCAGTCTTAATAATCATGGACACTAAATTCCAGAATAAGGAAAAGCGTAAGATTCCAATGGAGCTGTTGGGTCAAAAGGAACATGGCAAAACCATTTTATTTTTTCATCTTTTTATAGTTCAAACACTATACAGTCTGTAAAACAACTCCCATCCTATGAAATGCACTGGAAGAGATACAACCCTGAGGAATTTAAGTCTATTTATACTTGCAACAGAGTGAGTCTGTTCATACATACAAAGAAAAATGTAGGGACGGGGAAAGAAAAAAAGACCCATGAGCTGGGCGGTGGTGGCACACACCTTTAATCCCAGCACTTGGGAGGCAGAGGCAGGTGGATTTCTGAGTTCGAGGCCAGCCTGGTCTACAGAGTGAGTTCCAGGACAGCTAGGACTACACAGAGAAACCCTGTCTCGAAAAACCAAAAAAAACAAAACAAAACAAAAAAGACCCATGAAAACTGTTGTTGTCCTTCATTGTACTGGCTCTAAGATCAGAAGTGTCAAGGGTGTCTGTATTTTTCTGAACGGTGTCAAAGCACAAGAACAGTTGGACATTTTTACATACTTTACTGGCTAGGTCCTACTTGTCTTTCATGGTCAGGAAACTTTCCCCAAGTCCCAGGTTACACTTCCCTGAGCTCCATCAGGTAGGTGCTTCCCCCGCAACCCCCGGCCCCTAGCTAATTCAACAGCCACATTTCTGGAGTGATGTGGCCATCTTCCTTTACACACTACAAGTTTCCAAGTTCTAAGTCTCAACTGTGCCCGGGGTCGCAGAGAGAGGGGGAGGGG